GGGTTTACATTTAAGCATGCATGTTGTACTGGTACTGTATTGCCCATTCAATGCAAGTGGCGCGCGCCGCCTGCCGCGTATATACGTGAACACAATGTGTCCGTGCCGCGTGCTTGCCTGTGTGCCTGCTGCGCGTGGTGTCTGTGTGTGCGGATTGCTGCGCGGGCGTGCTTCTGTGTGATGCTGCGCGCGAGCATGCTGTGCGCAGTGTGTGCGTGCTGCGGCGTGGTGCCTCGAAGTGCCGTGCGTGCCGGTCCGTTGTGCCTGCGGCGTAGCCTACGGTAGACCCGTAGGATGCCAACGACCGCAAGCATTATAGAACGGTAATCATGGAAAATCCTAATGAAATTCACACGTATAAATATTTTCCCTGCCGGCGCAACTCGTGTGTCATTCGCCTCAATTGTAGCTTTTTCGTCAATTCCCGACAAAGAGTTTTGCTGTCGCCTCTTTCAATAGTCCAGCAAGTGCCAACCCTCTACATTTTAGTAGTGAGTAGTACCACGGCTGAAACAATCGTGCCCCCCCGTACTTCATCAATGCCGCCCCTGCCAGCAGGCACGTACGCCAGCGCTCGATGTGCAAGCCATCAAACGTGCCATCGCGGGCCGCCTTCTTCAAACCCCTGAAGCCTTCCAGGGCCCTTACGCTGGCCCAGGGACCCCCAGCGGCAAGAGAACTTCGCGTCATAAACAATCGATCCTCCGCGCTCCATTACAGGCAGAACTCCACTATTTGCGCCGAGCCGAAAATCAGTTCTGTGTTTAAGCTGAACTGTGATGTATTCACTATTCACAGGGTGCATTTGTGGTTGTGATTGTGTGTGTGTGTGGTGCGTGCCTCGTGCGTGCGCGGCGTGGTGCGTGCGAGCGTGCGTGCGTCGTGTGTGACGTGTGCTGTGGTGTGTTGCGCCGCGCCCGCGAGGATGTATTAAGCCTTACTGTGCTTGTGATGCTACATTTGAGAAAACAGCCCTGGTAAAAAGTCGCCCTGGAAAGTGGAAAAAGCCCTGGAAAATGAAAAAGTGCCCCGAAATTTTGGTGGGTTTGCCCAAAAGAGCCCGCGTCAAAAAAAAATATTTCACTGGTCAGCGCCAAAGTCCGCCGAGGGATTCATTGAGTTAACAACTCGCTGGCATGTACGGCGAGATGCCAGTATTGAGTTAGTCCCCCCCTCCGCCGCGCCAACCTATACCCCGGCATGGTCCTGAAGCATGATAGGTCACACCAGGTGTTCAACTAACTGATTTCATAGCATGAGCCACATCGTGCGTAGAGGTAATGGCTCCGCTGAAGTTGACAAACACATGATGAGAACAATTCACCCTCTCCACGTGGCTTTGTGTGTGTAAGGTCGTGCTGTGCTGTATCCAGGGGGGGGGGGCATCGCCTCGGAACTGGGTAGGGGAGGCTTGCGCTCCCAGGACCTTGGAAAAACCTTGACCCTGGTCGCAAACCGCTTTGTAGCCCTAAGAATACACCCGCTACCAATATACTGCCACCTAACAAGTCCGCAAGCCGACAGCGCCTCAACTGACGTGTACTATAGTCAGGTATTCTTCTTGATAAACTCACTGGCAACCGAATCAAGTGCGCCTTCTGGCCACCACTTTGTGCTCAGAGATAATATTCTAGGATAACTACTAATACAGATCTAAAATCTATGGATAGGGCTTTGTATACTACTGGTAGCTACAGTAATAAAGATACAGCTGTAACTTTAATGGACTTGCTATTATTTAACATGTATCATGCGATATGCGTCGAGCGCGAGCGTAGTTGTGGTGGGGCGGGTTCTAAGTTAGCAAAAGGCAATCAGGTCCTTTGTTAACAGTCAACAAATCCATGTTTTAACGCGTCCTTTTGAGGGTCAAATGGTTATCAGACAGTTCTCGTCGCACGTCACGGAAGTGTGTGTGATGGTCCTGTCAATTCCAAAGTGATAACAAGTATTGGCGCAGTAGCGACAGGTACCTGACGGGAGTGTGTTCTGATGCTTAAACTCAGGGGCAAGAATTCAAGAGCCCCTTCCCATCGCCGCGTTCGCGTCTCCTCTTGTCTCTCATTCTTTCTCTTTCGCTCGTCTCCTCTTGCTATCTCTTCTCGCGCTCTCTCTCTCGCCTCGATCACACTCTCGCTCTCATCTCTCTTGCTCGATCACACTCTCTCTCTCATCTCTCTCTCTCTCTCGTCGTCTCTCTCTCTCCTCTCTGTCTCTCTCTCTCTCTTGCTCGCTCTTCCCTTTCACGCTCGCTCTCTCGTCGCTCACACTCACTCTCCCTCGTTGCTCTCTCTCTTTCTTTGTCTTTGTCTTTCTCTCCTCTTTCTCTCTTCCCTCTCTTTCTCTCTCTCTCGCTCTCTCTTCTCTCTCTCTCTCTCATCTCTTTCTCTCTCATCTCTTTTCGCGCGCTCTCTTCTTTCTCTCATCTTCTCTCTCTCTCTCGCCGCTCTATCACTCTCTCTCTTCCCTCTCTCTCTCTCTCTCTTCTCTCTCTCTCTCTTCTCGCTCACTATCTCTCTCTCTCTCTTCATCTCTCTCGTCTCTCTCTCTTCTCCTCTCTCACCTCTTCCCTCGCTCTCTCTCTTCCCTCTCTCTCAATTTCTCTCTTTCTCGATGCAATAGCGCTGCGGACGAGGCTGTACGAACTGATTGTCTATCAGACGTCTGATTGTCTATCAGAACAGATGAGGCGAGTTGGGTTTTTTAGTGGTAGGGCGGGGGGGGTTCTAATTAAGCCAAAAGCAGTTCAGTCCTTTGTTAACAGTCAACAAATCCATGTTTACCGTCCTCTTGAGGGTCAATAGGTTATGCAGCACGTTACTCTTCGACGTCAGCCGCGAAAGCTAGATTTCATGGTCCTTTCCAATAAGTGATAAAAACGGTAGCTAGGTTCAATGCGTGAAACAAAAAGTTTGCACTCGTGCCGTTAGACCATGTCCTCAGAAAAATGTATGCATATCATGACTTTCCCCTACTGACCTTTGACCCTGTGACCTTCCAATTTCGCGCTGGTGATGGGTGTTCCTCGCCCATACACACTTATCATCGAATATTAGAGCGTAGGTCGAGCTGTTGAGATTTGCTGCACGAATTCCGTATTTTCTCCTATTATCTATACCCTTAAGTTAAGTGGGAAGTATTGCCCGCTCCGATTTGAACATCTTGACCTTTGCCTTGACCCAAATTCAACAATCCCAAGGCCTTTTCGCGATCCCCCCCGACGTCGGCCGAATATCAAGACCGTACGTCGCAGCGGTTAAGATTTGTGCGGCAAACTGGTTGACGGTCGCACGGACGGTACGACAATCATAGCGATTCTACAAGCTGCATTCTGACTTCGTCAGCCCTGAGTAAAAAGTATACCCTGTTGCAATATCGCACATTCGTTTATGTCCTGTCCGTGTCATATAGCAGATATTGCGTCCATATCGGCGCCTTGCGGGTGATAGTTGGCCCAAATAGTTGTTTTTCCAATATTGGGCGCGGATATTGCGAGCAATATCTGATAGTATTGGCCGTCCAATATCAGCTTGTGGGGCGTGTATCTAGATAACCCTGTACCAATAATGATGTTCGGAAAATTATGACACTGGTCTAGCGCACGTCCGGCCAGTACCTTTAACGAATGGAGTGCCCCCCCCCCGCCAACCGATACCCGCATGTCCTAAAAGCATGATAGTCACACACAGGTGGTCCAACTTAAACTGATTTCAATAGCTACAGCCCATGGGTAGAGCTAATGCCTAATGGCTCCCTGGAAGTTGACAAAACACCAATGTTATAGAAGCTATTCACCCTCTCACTTGAATTTGTGTTGTAAGGTGCTGCTGCTCGTATTTTGTACTGATTTATCTGCGTCTGTAAGGTGGTCTATGAGATGTTTGTAAACTGCTGTACCTGAATGTTTCGGAAGGAACGCTGTTGTAATGTATTGATACTTGGGTTTTTTAATGTGTTGTATGGCATTGTACAGAGTTATAAAGTGTTTCAAGGTATGTCTGGACCGATGTTATAACATGCTGTACGCTGGGTGTCTGTATGGCATCGTAAGGTGTTGTAAGGTGTTGTACTTTCAATGTCTATAACGTGCTGTATTTGGGGCTTATGTGCATCGGTACGGGTACGTGTATGTAAGGCTGTACTCGATGTCCATAGTAACATGCTTTATGTGGGTGTTGTGTGGCATCGTATGGTGTTGTAAGGTGTTGTACTCGATGTCATTGGGGTGTTGTACAGCATCCTATGGTATTGTACGTCGTACGGTGTTGCAAGGTGTTGTACTCGATTATATAATGTGCTGTACGTGGGTACTATATGGCATCATATAGTGTTGTGAGGTGTTGTACTCGATGTTATAATGTACTGTATTTGGGTGTTTTATGGCATCGTATGTGTTGTACTTGATGTCATTAGTGTTGTACAGCATCGTACGGTATTGTATGTGTTGTAAAGGTGTTGTACTTGATGTCATTAGGTGTTGTACAGTATCGTACGGTATTGTATGATGTTGTAAGATGTTGTACTCGATGTTATAACGTGCTGTATGTGGATGTTGTATGGTGTTGTACTCAATGTTATAACGTGCTGTATGTGGATGTTGTAAGATGCTGTACTCAATGTTATAACGTGCTGTATGTGGGTGTTGTAAGATGCTGTGCTCGATGTTATAACGTGCTGTACGTGGATGCTGTGCAGCATGGTATGGCGCTGTAAGGTGTCGCTCTCTCCGCCGGCAGGTGTTTCGCAGGATGCTGAGGAACCTCGTTAACATCGGACGACAGCAGACGAACGCCGGCGACAGCCTGCAGTGCCTGCGCAACGCGCTCGAACTCAGCCGCATCCTCAGCCCCGACGATATCGACCTCCGCCTGCTGCTGGCCAGACTCTACTCGCACCTCGATATCAACCACCAGGAGGTAGGCGGGCGGTTGTCGTGGTTACCCCTATGTACTCTCACCTCAAAATCAACCATTAGGAGGTAGGCAGGGGTTGTCATGGTTACCCGTGTACTCTCACTTCAAAATCAACCATTAGGAGGTAGGCAGGCGGTCGTCGTGGTTACCCGTGTACTCACACCTCGAAATCAACCACCAGGAAGTAGGCGGGTGGTTGTCGTGGTTACCCCTGTGTACTCGTACCTCGAAATCAACCATTAGGAGATAGGCGGGCGGTTGTCGTGGTTACCCCTATGTAATCTCACCTCAAAATCAACCATTCGGAGGTAGGCAGGGGTTGTCATGGTTACCCATGTACTCTCACCTCAAAATCAACCATTAGGAGGTAGGCGGGCGGTTGTCGTGGTTACCCGTGCACTCACACCTCGAAATCAACCACCAGGAAGTAGGCGGGCGGTTGTCGTGGTTACCCCTGTGTACTCGTACCTCGAAATCAACCATTATGAGGTAGGCGGGTGGTTGTCATGGTTACCCCTATGTACTCTCACCTCAAAATCAACCATTAGGAGGTAGGCGGGCGGTTGTCATGGTTACCCGTGTACTCTCACCTCAAAATCAACCATTAGGAGGTAGGCGGGTGGTCGGGGTGGATACCCCTATGTACTCTCACCTCAAAATCAATCACTAGGAGGTAGGCGGGGGGGTTGTCATGGTTACCCCTGTGTACTCGCACCTCAAAATGAAGCACTAGGAGGTAGGCAGGCGGTTGTCATGGTTACCCCTATGTACTCTCACCTCAAAATCAGCGACCAGGAGGTAGGCGGGCGGTCGTCGTGGTTACCCATGTACTCACCTCAAAATCAGCGACCAGGAGGTAGGCGGGCGGTCGTCGTGGTACGTTACTCCGATGCAGCTGTTGAACTAAATGTGTGTAGATGCGTATGTGCTGTTAGTAATACATAATAAACAGGAATAAAATCCATAAATACAAATGATAAGAATGACAATAGTAACCAAATAACATAATGAAACATCTATGTATTGTGTATTTGTGATAGAGTGTGATTCTTGGGCATTTCTAGGCACTATAGCCCTGATAAGCCAATCATAAGACGAGAAGGTCTTTATATGAAAATTAAAGACATGAAGCGATGTCACATTGACTGGTGATGGCAAAAGATATTAGAGCTATGAAAAGGGAAATAAGATGTGGGCAATGAGATAACGACATGGGATGGGAAGGGGCACAACAGAGGGTGCCGATGGGGTTTAGCGTGAAGCGTGAAATGGCCATATATTTTAGCGTTAGCGTGAAAAATCATTTTATTTTAACGTCAAGCGTGATTTTTGGCCTGGCGTGACTCGTGATTCCCCTCTAGAAATTAGCGTTAGCGTGAAAATGTCTAATTTTTTACCATGAAACGTGATAATAAATTTAATGTTTAGCGTGAAATACGTGTTATCTTCGAATTTAAAGCAGATTTGAGCCTTGTCGGATCTTGTCGGGCGGGTCGCGCCGCGCCATCTTTGCAGTTTTGATGTACACGCAGACATGAGAACCAGGCTGTATTCATTGTTGAAGAGTTATCTCCCCGTATAGCTGCGGTCCCGTCTGTGTATATATAGCGATTATGTGTAACTGTAATATCCTGTAACACCATATTGAGTACGGTATATGTTTTATATTATCATGCATGTAGAGTGTTCATCTACCTGATTGGGGTAGGTCTAGATAGGAT